ATTAACCAAAGCTAGATAACATAACCTTTCGATAACCTGCGAATTAAAAATATTTGATGCAATGATAATCCCCACCTTAACTTATGGTTTAGAAATCTCGGGGTTTGAAAACTGTACTATAATGGAAATGATTCACCTTGATTTTATTAGAAAATTGTTACCTATCAAAGAGCGTACTCCACTTTATATGTTGTATGCAAAAATGGGATGCAAGCCACTTTACACCAGTGTAATGAATAAAATGATTTGCTAATCACTGGAAAGTCGTCCAATATATCCTCTATTATGTATGTTATTTTTGGATAAATGCAAAAATAATTGTTCAAACAAATGTATCTCAGTAATTACAAATATTCTTTTCATTACAGGATTATTTGTATTATAAATCAATCTCCATGTATACCAACGTCTTTCAAATGTGTGGTTAAGACATGTCTTGAATATTAGTTCATACAACAATGACACTTTGCTTTGGAGGTATTCTCAAAATCTAGAGTCTATTAACTTATCAAATATGAAATTAAACCAAACTTTACCTTGATATTAACCCCAGAAATACCACATGCCGCTGTTACATCTTAGCTTTTCTTGTCACAGACTACTAATTGCAAAAGGTCGCTGGACAAAAATACCATTGGTTGAATGGACATGTCCGTTCTGTAATGCAACGGTATTGCTGATGACTATCGTTACATCTTAATTCTTTTAGAAGTTTCTTACCTATCGCTCAAAATATATCTAGTGAAATTGTTTGAATGCAAAAAAAACTTACCATGAAAAAGTTATCAACTTTCTGTAAGTGTATTATAAATGCTATTGAGTGACTATTGTGCACAATGCCGACATGTACTCTCTTCAAAAAAAGAAACGAACAGGTAGATTTTTAGTAAATTTATTGTACCTAATACAGTCGATATATTTAATTCAATAGCATAGATACAGATATGAAATAGCCACATGTTGTCGTTGTACAAAGACATTGAAAAAGTTCATTGTCATGCTGAACTCAGTATCTCGCGTGACCGCCCCGGGCAGCAATCACGGATCTGCACCTCCTCAGCACTGTCTGGATACGTGATACGTCGATTGAGGTCATCCCAGAGGTGTTCGATTGGGTTGAGATCGGGAGATTTGGCGGTCAATGGTTGGAAGAAGTTGAGTTTGAAGAATTTGAACCAAGTAGCGATTTGCTGTCAAATTTCCTGAACCACAACCAAGTCAGATCTCATGGTGTAGTATACCAATGACGTCACAATGGTATGCACAGCACTGTGATGCAATTTCATTGCAACGATATCTACAATGTAAATATCGTTTGATATCACCAAAGCGATATCTCCTCTGGGAGCCAGCTCAGTTTTGGATGAGTTTTGGGCCACTCCCTTACTTATAGTCATAATTGTCAGGGAGATAACCTGTTTCCATACTCTTGTATGGTGCACGTCAAGGTTCCAACTGGGACCAATTTTTTGTTCTCGTTGTATGCTACACTGCTTGGGGATATAGCAAGATTCTATGGGGTCAGGTTTCATCAATACGCCGATGACGCGCAGATCTAACTCGCATTTCATTGTCAATGGAAGCTGCATCTGATGCACTATCACGCTGAATTCCTGATATTAAGGGTAGGATGGCTAACAACTTTCTTCAGTTAAATGAGGACTAAACGAAACTGATTTTTTCTTCCAAATGTACCAGGCTAAAATATCCCCATTTGCGTCAGTGTCATTAAACCAAAGCACATGAACTCGCAATTTGGGTGTTTGATTCTTCTCTCAGTCTGGAAACGCACGTAAATACCATCTGTCAACGTGCATATTTTCACGTGTGCGTTTCTTGTGGAAGTGAGTATACATTCACTGCAATGTTCACTTGTGAAGCACTGAAGGCTGATGACGTCAGAGTACCTACTGATGCGCAAAACAAAAAGATGTTGATCATAAGGGATAAGATTGGTAGTGACGATCGGATACAGAACGAAGGCCTGTTGGAACCAAAGCCAACAGGTACATAAAGACACGATCCAATGCCCTGCAGAGTTTCAAATGGCGAACTCTATTGTGATTTTTTTACCAGATTCTCATAGATATAGGATATTTATTCTCAGTTGCACCCGATCATGGATGATATTGTTACCACAAATATCCAAGCTCCTATCCCAAATACATGAGTGAGTGAGTGTGGTTTTACGCCGCTATAAGCAATATTCTAGTAATATCATGGCGGGGGACACCAGAAATGGGCTTCACACATTGTACCCATGTTGGGAATAGAACCCGGGTCTTCGGCTTGACGACCGAACGCTTTAACCACTGGGCTACCCGACCGCCCCTTGTTTTAGTAGAAGACATGATACTTTGTATAGATAACGACATCCATATTGTTTGTAATGACGTTTCATAGCTACCTCTTGCCCACGTATCTGATGGGGGCGGTGGGATAGCCTAGTGGTTAAAACGTTTGCTCGTCACGCCGAATGCACGGTTTCGATGTGTGAAGCCCATTTCTGGTGTCCCCCGCCGTGATATTGCTGGAATATTGCTAAACGCTGCGTAAAACCAAACTCACTCAGGGTGGAACAGACAATCAGTGTCGCGATAGAGTATGGAAAAGACGTGATTGTCTGAAGGTACAAAACACCTATGAGTGAGTGAGTGAGTGAGTTGGGTTTTACGCCGCTTTTAACAGTATTCCAGTTACATCACGGCGTGTCAGCTCAATGTGGGAGGAAAGCCCGAAGTGATGCAGGTCTCAGACGTTTACCACTTCGGTGAAACCCACGAGCATGGGTATGGTGCTGACAAACCTAGAAACATAATCGGGGCGAACCGGGATTCGAACCCACAATCATAGGTTTCTGGCTCAAAACACCTATGACGTTGATGAGAAATGCTATACATCCACATACTTTGGACCATATTGAAATACTGCTGCTTTCCTTGAAATTTGAATCATTAGCTTGTGTCCTGTAGTTACTGCATCCTAAATGTACTTTGTGTCTACAAATCAGCGTTATTGTATTTGTGCTATATGGGTCAATCCCTGTGAGGGAAAATTACAGGTCGTACATCAAATAGCTTGTAAAACTTGATTGGTTAAACCTAACCTTAAATAAGTGCGATCTCCGTTTTAGCTATTAGCCATGTTACAGCACTTAGCTGAATATCAATTTATCGACAGTCAACAAACCATCAGCACGTGCCACCGTAGAAAACTGTTTATACTCTTCACTGATAGCGGGCTCTATACTCTTGCATAATGCCCATACAGGTTTCTGATTGTGTGACTTCATTACCAAATAGAGTTGATGCTTCCCCGCTCAAGTCCAATCAGTTGATTATGCAGCCATTTGCCGTACATAGTGTGATTTTCAGTGTGCTGCTGGGTTTACGTTTGACTCTTTAAAAAGTAAATTGGGTTTATGGTGTGTAGGTGGTTGTGGATATCGACAGGTACATATTCAGCCTTGTTCGAAAGCTTTACATTAATTGTCACGTGATTGATAATGTGACACGGGCACCTCACTGTGTTGTTTCAAAGCGTCCATTTTAAACCGCATCACCGCACAGGGATGAATATGCCTTTCATCTGAACTACAGGCACAATTCAAATTAACAGTTGGACGTTTTGTCGAATGAAGTTACGGATTACATGCCAGCATCAATCATGAAAATAGAAAGTATCGACATTTCTGATGGAAAGAACATTGCAAACAATTGCAAGTCCATACCAATTGAGAACAGAATGAAACCTCTATTGATATCCATGAAAATATTTGGACTGTACTTTGACCCACAGCAGGATAGCAATGCATTGGAACAGTCACAAAATGGTCGTAAGAGAATATCTACAAGCCTACAGGCATTCTTCAGCCACCGACTGTATTGTTTCATGGTTCTTCTTTTGCTGTGGTTCAACTTTGTCCGAAATGCTGTTGGCATATTCCCTCTTAATAAAGGTTTACCCTTGAGGATCTGTCTCACGTCCTGGTATCTCCAGTGCTCATTGAATGCAACTATCATGGTTGTTTCATGTCAGAGACTTGGCCACTTGCGATCCTTCTACAAACATTGGGATGCTCTTTTCAACAACAATGTGACGAAAGAAATCGGATGTGGATACAGATGCCAAATAACGTATTTGAATGTTGCAACATCAAGTGCATGGGCTGTAATTGTCGTCAGCGTAGCTGCATGTTTTACAGTCACTCTTGGCAATGTTTCGAATTCTAATCTTTTCCTTGTTGATATTCTTCGTCCTTTTCCAGTGGAACAATGGGCAGTCGCACTCAATGTTATTTTGTTTACTTTCGACACCGGTGCATGGGTATTCCCTGTAATCTTCGTGGTCGTAGTTTCCAGGGTCATCAAAGGTCAATTCCTCAGATTTGGGCAGGTCCTTTCCAAGCAGATCAAGGAAGCAGATGACAACATCCCTGAACGTCTGCCAGAACTGAGATCTCGCTACACACAGCTTTGTCAGGCTGTGTATATCATCAACAGAACCTTCAAATGGATCCTCGGACTATCCCTTTTCCTTCAGGTTTTCCTGGCCTGCTTTGTTTCGTATCAGCTGATAAACTACCGAGAGGAAATGTTTAAAACTTTTATCTATTCGTATTGGTTGGGATGTTGTTTTGTGATTGTTATTTTGCTGACAATGAGCAGTTCTGGTGTACATGACGCAGTAAGTATACACTTTTATTTAGCATCTCACTCTGACCCAGTCGTCTACAGTTCCACAAATCAATGTGCGTGACGTGGTTGCACCAAACAGGTGTGCCAAAGAGATGATCGTGGGTTCGAATCGCAAATTCGTTTGGTTAAGTTTCTAGGTTTGTGATTACTTCAGGCTTTGTGACCATGGTATTTTCAACGTTGCTAGTTATATAATACACGATATGTTCCTCAGTGTATATAATAGGCATAGCTATTTCCAAATTCTCAGCCTACGATGGCTGTTTAGATACACATCTACAAAATGTTAAAACACTATTTCAGGCCCATTCCTTGCTGGATGACATTTTCCAGATTGGAACAAAAAACGCAACTGCAGAACTTCTGGGACAGGTAGGTTTATGTTTTTGCCATACAATATTGGCTCCCAAAGGTAATTTTAATTATTTATGTTATTCCTCGAAGAAACGCCCCAGCCAGCAAAATTAGATTGGACCAACAATGTGGGCTGAGAAATGGGTCCATTGAGGATTTGTCTAAGGGGTTCCAACTTGGTCCTATCTAGGCATATATCTATTGTGCCTGTGAAGGTATGTATGGGTTTGTTTTCTCTGCATAACAAATGAGTTGATGTATTATGAATGTATCAATATAAATTGGTACAAATGTTTACTAAAAACAAAATTCTTCTCTCTAATAATACAGACATTCATGACAATAGTTTTCAGTCTACACAAAGACCAGACAAATGCTTTGGCTGTATTTTTTTAATTTCTTTTTTTGTCCTTTTATGGTATTTTAAGCTTATCCATTAACTAACACTAAATAAAGTAATAAATAGATATACAATACATAAGCTTATATCAGATAATTGTCATCACCGCCAAAATAATAGACTAAGATACCGAAAATCTAGGCCTTCTATAAGTGCAGGCAGTATCTGTAACATAAATTGTGAAGACATTCAGCGAGAACGGTCGGTTTTAGTTCCTATGTACGTGAAGACCTCGGCGACTTAGGGTCTTGTCCCGATTGTAAAACAGTTTACTTTAGTGGGAGGCTGAAAAGGTTAGAAGGCATTACTGAGGAACAAGATCTTACACATTTCCTACCAAAATAAATAAAAAATGGCGGAAGGTGTCCCGTAAAAGGCATTCATATCTTGCTTTGTGTCATTGTGTCGATGAGTGGGGTATCTGTATATTTCGAAACGAAGTAACAATGGCAGGCTCTTAACAGACTTGATGCCCCATTCGCTTGGCTCCAACACTAGCCCAATTAGACCCCAGGACGAGTGAGCGCGGGAACTAACAAAGATGCCTTATGGCCCCATTCAGCCTTGCTTTACAACGGTATAAGGTTCTATACCGAAACTTCGCCTTTACATTCAACAAAGGCGTTGTTATCCATAAATTATCTCTACTTTGGCCTAGCGAAGCTTCCCCTTCCCGACTGATTGCCGCCAAAGGAGATACTTGACAGATGTGTCTTTTCCAAAATGGTAGTTACGCTACTGCCTTAAAACAAGGTTCAGCTGGAACTATATTGCATGTTGTCACACTCCGACTGACCAATCACTCATCACCTTTTGCCGCAATATTTTAATCACACATTCCAGGGAAACTTGCAATGTTTGTATTCATTTGTGATCGGGCCATCATCATCAATTCTTCCTTACTTTTTCAGCTTAACCTCTTTGTCTCCAAGTTGACAGGAACATCCACTGGATTCACGGCCATTAACTTCTTTGTCATCACAAACGAGTTCCTTCTGACTGTAAGTTGAAACGTCAACAATAAATACCATAAAATCTAACATCTGTCTTGCCACAGGACATTGGACATTAATGAAATCAATATACCACTGTTCAATGATACGACATACAACATAACATGGCATGAAATAGTGCATGGCTTTGTGATATTTGGAAATTGAAAAAAACGTTTGACTGATAAACAAGACAATCTTGGGTATGTTTTTGTTAGTTATTGCGAACTATTGTTGACTGCCATGTTATTCAACATTCATTCATTTCAGTTGGGTGGACTGTTCATCACCTACTTCTTCCTCCTGCTGCAATTCAAGATATAGACTGACACTGGGTTGTCCTCATGTGGATAGATTCATACACACCAAGTGTCCTGTCCCCAAAATCGAGACTTACTCTATGCCACAGTAACGACAATTGCAGCTGTAAGATCACCAAGATCAGTGAAAACTACCACAGCTGGCAAGGCCCACTTACAGTTTCACTCTGATGAAAAGATAAAATCTCCTCTGGAAATAAAAAATGACATCAGTTCTCAACCTTTGGCATTGTACATTTTATTGTGGGTGGTCTTTTATTTTTGTTAATGTTAGAAAAAACATATGAGATGTACATTTTACCCACCACTCTGTGACTGCTCTTACTACCCTTTTAGCTAAAATTGCAAAATCAAGAACATGTAGACAACCACACACTGAGATGCTTTTTGTTCATGCTGAGATTCTCCCAGTTGCTGTCGACATAATAGTTTGGCGCCCATTCCCAAAGAAGGAGATAAAACACAAAACAATTATCAAATTTGTTCTGTTACGGGAAATGACATAATTAGGCCTACACACTCTATAATTAGGCCCCACATTCGCTTACCCAACACTCACCTCTCCTTTATCAACAACCTGATTAAAAGCAACAGCCTAGAATGTGTATCAGTAAGTGCAAATGACTATCAAATAAAATGTTTGGTTTTCTATTCAGAGAATAAGCAAACGAGTTCTTTGTCCCTCTGTAACGTTTCGTTTCCAGATATACTTTTCTTCTTGAACTGTACAATATTTACAGGAAGGTCTGGTGGTTTCACTATTTCTTGCAATTCCGACGGAAATGTGGTTGAATACCACAGGATTGGCCTTATCCTCCTGCCCAAAAATCAAAAGCGTTCAGGCAATAAACACATATACAGGTTGAATTGTGTAGTTTGTCTTTTGGCATACATAACGTTTAGCTCACTTGGATCAAGATATACGTACGCTATTTCTGATGCACCAAACGTGGAGATCACAATATATATTAAAGTCAAAGCCTCGATTATCTTCTGAAATAGATTCGACGAGACAGGGGTCCGCGAAAAGGATAAGCATGTCCTGCCCTTTAAGTAGCACCCGTCACTTACACAATTGGCATAGAAAAGGACAGTGTGCATTGCCTCATACCTGTTTTCGGGTATTCTATGGAATTTCTAAACGATAGTATAAAATTGCGTTCATGTCGCAGGATTATCTGGGCCAGAATCGATTTTTTTACAGACAGTCGTCGTATGACAGGAGTACTGATGGGCTTGTTTTGCTTCGGCCCTAAATGTGATAGGGCTGAATATGAACCTTGCTTGTTTACTTATATGTGACGAAGGTCTTTCAACTTTCTCTTAGCCATAAAATACGTTGGCATCAATAGATGTATGTGAGAGACACCATGTGAATATATGACAGTAACATTAAAATAAGCGTTCATGCTGCTGAATAGATCTAATGTTGAGCAGTGTGCATGTGGTGAATGGACATGTCATGAATGTGGCAGAGTAGAGAATGAACCAACAAGACGCTTCTCTGAAAGGTCTAAGGCACCGACAATATTTTATCCCATGAAAAAGTACGCTATTTACGTCGTGATGGGCTGATGTCATGACGTTCCCACAATTTGTACAAAACGTAAGTGTTTGTTTGATGCCTGATGCCACACGACAGTACACGTGACATGTGACGGCAGAATGCAAACAAAACAGAAAATCAAGTGATGAACCATGGAATCCACTCACATGATAGTGAGTGAGTGAGTGAGTGAGTGAGTGAGTGAGTGAGTTGGGTTTAACGCCGCTTTGAACAGTATTCCAGTTACATCGCGGCGTGTCAGCTTAATGTGGGAGGAAAGCCCGAAGTGATGCAGGTATCAGACGTTAACCACTTCGGTGAAACCCACGAGCACGGGTATGGTGCTGACAAACCTAGAAACATAATCGGGGCGAACCCGTGCCCCCCACATGATAGTGAATTTTACCGATTTTCAACAAAAAGTAATGGTGACAATTGCCCAATAAAGTCTAAAACGCTTCCTTTTTCAACGAAAGCAAACAAATTGAATCATATAATCAGCATCCCTCTTCGACTCTGAAATCATGTTGTTGATCTTCCTAGCAGCCTATGGAAGTAAACACTCTTAAAAAGAATATGTCAACCAACCCCACGATGCAGGGTTACCCGAAACGTAAACAAAGCACTCTTTTCGTGTCACAGCAGCCACTAACATGACAAGGTTGTCCGAGGTGATGTCGACAAGAATGAGCAATCATGGACATATACGATAATCACTTTTCTCTCGTTCAGCATAGAATATTTAGCCACATACTGCAGTCAAACAACACGATCGCTGTTGCTCTTTCTTCGCAATGATCGTCCCACGGCGACGCCATTTCACGTCAAGTCACATTGTCCTAAGTTGTCTATTCACGTGAGCTGCACAGTATCCTAGAGTGCAGCTGATTCAGAAAGCACTCCTTTCATGTCTTTCAGTAGCTGACAACATTCATTACCAGCTCCTGAAACATTTGCCCGATTCATGTTTGTAAACGCAATTTAATATACTCACACGCAAAAGGAACGCAAGTCGAGTATGCAGTATACATGTTATTTATTTTCAACAGTAAAGACAAGAAATACTAAAAGGGCAAGATTGACAAAAAATTGACTTAAGGCAGTTTAATGGATTAAAAGCAGATGACATAATTGGGTTTTTTCAAATGTCAAGGGCTCACACAGTTTCGGGTCAGTACCCAAAACGTCAGTCAACTTTCTTCAGTTAAATGAGGACAAAACGAAACTGATTTTTTCTTCCAAATGTACCAGGCTGAAAATATCCCCATTTGCGTCAGTGTCATTAAACCAAAGCACATGAACTCGCAATTTGGGTGTTTGATTCTTCTCTCAGTCTGGAAACGCACGTAAATACCATCTGTCAACGTGCATATTTTCAAGTGTGCGTTTCTTGTGGAAGTGAGTATACATTCACTGCAATGTTCACTTGTGAAGCACTGAAGGCTGATGACGTCAGAGTACCTACTGATGCGCAAAACAAAAAGATGTTGATCACAAGGGATAGGATTGTTGGTGACGATTGGATACAGAACGAAGGCCTGTTGGAACCAAAGCCAACAGGTACATAAAGACACGATCCAATGCCCTGCAGAGTTTCAAATGGCAAACTCTATTGCGATTTTTTTACCAGATTCTCATAGATATAGGATATTTATTCTCAGCTGCACCCGATCATGAATGATATTGTTACCACAAATATCCAAGCTCCTATCCCAAATACATGAGTGAGTGAGTGTGGTTTTACGCCGCTATAAACAATATTCTAGTAATATCATGGCGGGGGACACCAGAAATGGGCTTCACACATTGTACCCATGTTGGGAATAGAACCCGGGTCTTCGGCTTGACGAGCGAACGCTTTAACCACTGGGCTACCCGATCGCCCCTTGTTTTAGTAGAAGACATGATACTTTTTATAGATAACGACATCCATATTGTTTGTAGTGACGTTTCATAGCTACCTCCTGCCCACGTATCTGATGGGGGCGGTGGGATAGCCTAGTGGTTAAAACGTTTGCTCGTCACGCCGAATGCACGGTTTCGATGTGTGAACATGGGTACAATGTGTGAAGCCCATTTCTGGTGTCCCCCGCCGTGATATTGCTGGAATATTGCTAAAAGCTGCGTAAAACCAAACTCTCTCAGGGTGGAACAGACAATCAGTGTCGCGATAGAGTATGGAAAAGACGTGATTGTCTGAAGGTACAAAACACCTATGACGTTGATGAGAAATGCTATCCATCCACATACTTTGGACCATATTGAAATACTGCTGCTTTCCTTGAAATTTGAATCATTAGCTTGTGTCCTGTAGTTACTGCATCCTAAATGTATTTTGTGTCTACAAATCAGCGTTATTGTATTTGTGCTATATGGGTCAATCCCTGTGAGGGTAAATTACAGGTCGTACATCAAATAGCTTGCAAAACTTGATTGGTTAAACCTAACCTTAAATAAGTGCGATCTCCGTTTTAGCTATTAGCCATGTTACAGCACTTAGCTGAATATCAATTTATCGACTGTCCCAAAACCATCAGCACGTGCCACCGTAGAAAACTGTTTATACTCTTCACTGATAGCGGGCTCTGTACTCTTGCATAATGCCCATACAGGTTTCTGATTGTGTGACTTCATTAACAAATAGAGTTGATGCTTCCCCGCTCAAGTCCAATCAGTTGATTATGCAGCCATTTGCCGTACATAGTGTGATTTTCAGTGTGCTGCTGGGTTTACGTTTGAATCTTTAAAAAAGTAAATTGGGTTTATGGTGTGTAGGTGGCTGTGGATATCGACAGGTACAAAGTCAGCCTTGTTCGAAAGCTTTACATTAATTGTCACGTGATTGATAATGTGACACGGGCACCTCACTGTGTTGTTTCAAAGCGTCAATTCTAAACCGCATCACCGCACAGGGATAATATGTCTTTCATTTGAACTACAGGCACAATTCAAATTAACAATTGGACGTTTTGTCGAATGAAGTTACGGATTACATGCCAGCATCAATCATGAATATAGAAAGTATTGACATTTCTGATGGAAAGAACATTGCAAACAATTGCAAGTCCATACCAATTGAGAACAGAATGAAACCTCTATTGATATCCATGAAAATATTTGGACTGTACTTTGACCCACAGCAGGATAGCAATGCATTGGAACAGTCACAGAATGGACGTAAGAGAATATCTTCTTCAGCCACCGACTGTATTGTTACATGGTTCTTCTTTTGCTGTGGTTCAACTTTGTCCGAAATGCTGTAGGCATATTCCCTCTTAATAAAGGTTTACCCTTGAGGATCTGTCTCACGTTCTGGTATCTCCAGTGCTCATTGAATGCAACTATCATGGTTGTTTCATGTCAGAGACTTGGCCACTTGCGATCCTTCTACAAACATTGGGATGCTCTTTTCAACAACAATGTGACGGAAGAAATCAGATGTGGATACAGATGCCAAATAACGTATTTGAATGTTGCAACATCAAGTGCATGGGCTGTAATTGTCGTCAGTGTAGCTGCA